CGGGCAGGCTGGCGGCGGCGGGGTCAGGGTCCGGCTTCGGGTCGGGTCCGGTGAGGCTCCAGGGAGAACGCCTCTCGCCATCCGGGGCGTTTTGCTTTGTGTTTTGGCCTTCGGGGCTCTAGGCTTTTCTCGTGTTGAGAGAAACGCCCGCCCGGCTCGCCCAGCACAGACGCCCTCCTTCGGTCCAGCCAGTTCCCGTGAGCCGGGAGCTGGGGGAACCCAGGCGGCAGCTTCACGGACGGACCCGTTAGTGTCTGGGGTCTGAGGTGTGTTCAGAAGCTGGGCTCCGTGACAGGAAAGTCTACACAGTGAATCGGCGTGTGTGCGCGCGTGTGTGTGAATGCGTGTGTGTGTGCGTGTGTGTGCGTGTGGACACAGCCATCAGTCATGTTGGATGGAAGTGTTGGTTAAACACACGTTCTCACACAGGAAGTGCCATGTGAGTGCAATCCCCGGATGACAGTGCACGCAGGCTGTGGGTGGCATGTCCTTGCCCAACGTCCTTGTCCAACGTCCGTCCGCGCTGGGTCTTGGGTTCTGGTCGGGCCTGTGGTGATGGTCACTGTGGGGCAGCTCCTGTCGGGCTCCCTCGGGTCCCTGCTTCAGACCCTCAGCTCTGCCCGAGGGCCCAGTGCTGGCTCCTAGGAGTGCTGGCTCCTGGGGTGCTGGCTTCTCGGGGGGCTGGCCCACGGAGGCGCAGGGAGCGGCCAGCCTGCTGGGGCCCTTTGCAAATGAGACCTGCTCTCCTGGGAATACAGGGCCTCCACTGACCTTGTTGGCTCCTGGGGGTGCTGGCTCCTGGGGTGCTGGCTTCTGGGGGTGCTGGCTCCTAGGGTGGCAGGGAGCGGCCAGCCTGCTGGGGCCCTTTGCAAATGAGACCTGCTCTCCTGGGAATACAGGGCCTCCACTGACCTTGTTGGACGTTCTCTCCTCTTCCTCTCCACTGTCTCCACCTTCTCTCTCCGCCTCCTCTCTCCCACGTCCTCTCCCACCCTCTGCAGAGCCGCCAACCAAATACCAAATCTCCCAGCCCGACGTGTATGTGGCCGCGCCCGGGGAGTCGCTAGAGTTGCGCTGCCGGCTGAGAGATGCCGCTCGGATCGGTTGGACTAAGGACGGGGTGCACTTGGGGCCCAACAATAGGACAGTGCTTATTGGGGAGTACTTGCAGATAAAGGGCGCCACGCCCAGAGACTCTGGCCTCTATGCTTGTACGGCTGCTAGGACAGTGGACAGTGAGACTGGCTACTTCATGGTGAATGTCACAGGTGAGTGGGCCTCGGGCCCCTGCTCTCTCTTCTCCGAAGCGTTTTCTGGGTAAAATTTAAAAGTTTATATATTTCTATCGATTTCATTTAAAAGTTTATATATTTCTATCAATTTCAGAGAGAGAGAGAGAGAGAGAGAGAGAGAAACATCAATGATGAGAGAGAATCATGGAGCGACTGCCTCCTGCATGGCCCACACGGGGGATTGAGCCTGCAACCCGGGCCTGTGCCCTGACCGGGAATTACACCCTGACCTCCTGGGTCATAGGTCGACGCTCACCACTGAGCCACGCGGCCCACGGGCTCTGGGTGACACTTTACTGGGCAGGTGGCGCCGCGGCGGGACCTGCTGTGGGTCAGGCACAGAGCTTCAGTGCGGCTAGTCGCCTGCTTTTGAAATCCTTTCTGGGGACCAGGGAGGCTGGTCATTAAAAACGATGGATTCTCATCCTGTCTGGTGCTGCGCAGTGGTTAGAGCGTGGGCCTGTGGACTGAAGCATCCTGGGTTTGAGCCCGTGCCCTGGTCAGGGCGGGGGCGGGAGGCAGCTAATCGATGTGTCTCTCTCCCTCCTAAAAATCAATGGAAGAATACCCTCAGGTGAGGAGTCACGACAACAGGACTGGATTCTCTCGTGCAAGCGATGTTTTTCTTGTGAG